TGAGCTGTCATTCAGCATCTTAGCTGTAGAGGGCAGTGTCACTGGCCCTCATATGTGGGATCCGAACCGGGGCCCTCTGGCATCCCAAGCGAGCTCTCAACCATCGCGCCACTCGGCCGGCCCTATATATTCTTTTAAAATCTCAATTTTTAAAAATAATTGTTTGCTCTTTCATTGGTGTGATGTCATCCATATTGCTCTAAAAATATACATGAGGTGGGTTTTATTCTCTCTGTTTAAGTTACATTTGTCTCTATTACCATTAGATTGTTCAGTGAGTCTTCTTTGTGGGGCCATTTTCTTAACTTCCAGGCTCTCGGTTATTGATTTCAAAGGCCCCTCTGGCTTGACAGGTTCTTCAGGAACCAGGCTGTCCTCTTACCCAACAAGTATTCCAGGCCTCGGGCCCTGGCTGTGCCTACAGCGTCCATCCACCTCATCCTGGGAGGGGTTGTTTCTCTGCCTCTGTTGGATCTGAGGGGACTAGACCAGGCTCCTTGATGGTGAAAACTTCCAGGGTGAGAGTTGCCAGATCAGCAGCCCTGGAAATTTCAGTGTTCATGACATCCTGACATTCTGGTTCCAGGTCTTGGAGCTGACAGGGAAGTTACTTCTGAGTAAGCCAAGTATCCATTTTTGTGTTATCTGAATGATGATTTCATTTTTCAGTCTTTACCTTACCCCAGAATCTGCTCCATCTCAGGAAAAATCATTTAATGATTATGTGAGAAGTTTTATATCAGTTGTTGTCACACTCTGCTTCAGGGTTCCAAGCACTGACCATCACCGAGTGTCCCCCATGTGGTTTGCTTGCTCGTTGTCATTTTCCATGAGAACATGAGCTCAGGAGTCCTAGGAATTGAGTCTGGGCCTCTGACTATCGGCCTCCGCCATCCTCCCACACACTTTGGTGAAGATGTGCCTTGTTGAACTAGAACATGTGGGATGTTTCAGGACTCAGTGGTCTTTGCGGATGTGGCTGTGAACTTCACCCGGGAAGAGTGGGCTTTAATGGATGGTGCTCAGAGGAATCTCTACAGAGACGTGATGCTGGAGACCTGCCGGAACCTGGCCTCAGTGGGTGAGGACAGCTTCATCTCTTCCCTTAGTCTTTTAGGGAAAAAATATTTTTACAATTGTTCTTTTTTATTATGTCCAAGGAAGGGTAATATGTTAAAAAAAGACAGATGCAATCTAAGCCTTCATGAAACCTACCTAGAATCAAATATCGTTTTCATGGTAACAAAGTTTTATGTGTGAAATTGACTTTTTATTTCTCTTGAACAAGAGTGAGTCTCCCTAATTTTCTAAGTGTGAGCATCTCTGCAGTTCACTGTGGGGCAGCAAGAGCAGTTTTATGCCGTTTACTCTTGAGAAAGTTAAATTGAGGTTAATACATATTTGACATGGTCATTTTTCTGTAATTAATCTCACACTGTGCAACATCACTGTCCTTGAAGCCCAAGTATTGGCCCTTCTCATAGAATGTTTGTTGCCCTCCATCCTCCATCATGAGCAGGGCAATACCACACACACTATCCAATCAGCCAATGGCATCTCGGGACCGTGAGAAAGGCTCCATGTAGGGCCTATGTGTCTGAGAACTACAGGAAAGTGACAACCCTCAGGGAGAAACAGGTTCTAGATAAGGGAATGACATTTCTTCATGTGCATCAGAAACATGGCTCAGTCTGTGTTTGAGAAGGGTGAAGTTTGTCATATACCTGGCTTTCTTGTTGGACTTTTTCTCACTTGGGAAGACTGTCTTTATTTTCTTTTGTAAAGGTAGCATTTGGGCATGTGCATTTTTCCCAGTTCCCCCTAGTTTGTATTTTTGATATTTTTTCAGTCTCCATCTTTTTTTGAAGTATTTCTTCAAAAAAGGCTGCCATTTGGACACACTTTTCCTATTATTACCAAAGTCTCAAATAGCAAAGGTCCTTAGAGTTTTTCTTTGCTCACAATTTTATTATTCTTTATAAAATTTGTTTATATTTTTGGATCATTATATGAAAATAAATCTACACATTGTTATTTTGTGTTTTTCCTTTACCCCACCATTTCTTTCCCAGAAAATTTAATTGAATTATGCTATCAATTGTTGCAGATTGTTTCACTGAAATTAAAACCAGTGCATCATGTCCTCAGCAAGATAATTTGGAGAAGAAAATATCCAGTGAACAGAAAATAGTAAGGTTCACAAGGAATGATTTCTGCTCTGTTTTTAGAGAAAACTGGACAGTTTATAACATTGCAGATCAGCACCAAACCCAAGAGAGCAATTTGAGGTGAGTGGCACTCCTACAGGGGAAGGGGGAACATCGGCAGAGTGTTAGACTAACTTGAAATTAAAGAAAAAGTATAAACCTAGCAATAGTATACACAGAAAATGCTCACCAGATACTATTTTCATAAATGTGATGTAGATATTAAATGTCTGATACAGATATTGCATGATTGAAACAGAATTCAGTTAGAAATACTGATCAGGAAACCATATAGGTAAGAAACAAGGAAAGTTATGGTTCTGTTAGAGCCCAGCCAGAGCATTAAACGTGTTCCAGGATGGAACAATGCAGACAGTGATGAAAACATACCCATGCTGTGAAAATGGCAAAGACATCATTAAAAGAATCATCATCAGTCAATCACTAATCAAGACGTCACTTTTAATCTTCAATCCCTAACAGTGTGCTTCCTATTTGAACAGAAGTCATTGTGTGGAGAGTCCCTGGGAAGGTCATGGAGGTGATCAGTGTGGACACACCCTGAACCAGGTTACAGAGCTGCCTGTGCCTGAGCGACATCCCACTTGTGTTCAACCCCGTGACTGCACTATGTGTGGAAAAGACTGCACGGATTTTTGTTTCCTGAAGAATCAGCTGAAATCTATCTCTGGACACAGCCCTCATGTGGGTGAGGAATGTGGGCGAGCCTGCAGGTGTGTCTCGTGCCTAACCTGTCATGTGGGAACAGATCTTGTGGGGACACACTGGACATGTCAGGATCCTGGGACAGCGCCTAAGCGACACGTGAGGAGTCTCAGTAGTAAAAAATCTTTTGAGTGTAAAAAATGTGGTAAAACTTTCACTTGCCCTGCATCCTTTCAGGAACATCTGAGAGGTCACTGTGGACAGAAAATCCATGCATGCAGAGTGTGTGGGAAAGCCTTTATGTATTACCTTCACCTTACAGGACATGCGAGAACTCACAGTGGAGAGAAATCCTATGAATGTAAGGCATGTGGCAAAGCTTTTGGTAGTCCAAAGTACTTTAGAAGACACCTGAGAACGCACAGTGGAGAGAAACCCTATGTGTGTAAAGAGTGTGGGAAAGCCTACGGGTATCTCACAAACCTGCAAGATCATACAAGAACACACAGTGGGGAGAGACCCTATGAGTGTCAGCACTGTGGGAAAGCATTTAAGTATGCTGCATCCCTGCGAGTACATGTGAGGACACACACTGGGGAGAGGCCCTATGAATGTCAGCAATGTGGCAAAGGCTTCAGTAGTCACTCTTACCTTCAGAAACATGTGAGTACACACAGTGGGGAGAAATCCTATGAATGTAAAGAGTGTGGGAAAGCTTTTAGGCAGCTTCAACATTTTCAAGGTCATATGAGAATACACAGTGGAGTCAAACCCTATGAATGTAAAGAGTGTGGGAAAGCCTACAGTTTTCTCTCATCCCTTCGAATACATGGGAGAACGCACAGTGGGGAGAGACCCTTTGAATGTCAGCACTGTGGGAAAGCCTTCAGTCGTCTCTGTTCTCTTCGAGGACATATGAGATCACACAGTGGTGTGAAACCCTATGAATGTAAGGAGTGTGGAAAAACCTTCAGGTATCCTGACAACCTGCGAGTACATGTGAGGACCCACACTGGGGAGAAACCTGACGAATGTCAGCACTGTGGGAAAGCCTTCAGGTATCCAACATCCCTGCGAAAACACATGAGAATGCACGGTGAAAGCAATACCTATGAATGTCAGCAGTGTGGGAAAGCCTTCAAGTATCTCGAATCCCTGCGAGCACATATGAGGACACACGAAGGACAGAAACCCTGAATATAAGGACTGTGGGAAGCCTTCATTTTTCCTTAAAATGTTATTGTAAATGTGTGCAGACACACTGGAAAGAAACTGTATGGATGGAAAGAATGTGAAAAACCATCATATGTAACACTTTACTTATTTTGTACATGGAAACTCAGAGCAGGACTGAAATCTACTTATTATAAATATGGTTTTGCCTTTTAAATAGCTCATTCTTAATACCGATTTCCAGTGTATTAATTTCTGGTACATGTTGCTGATATGAAAACTTAGGATAATATTTCTTTATGTCGTTTTATCTGGACTATATATATTTTATTATCATGGACTTCAAAAGTACAGTTGTATAAAACTTGTCTCATTTTCATTACAATGTCTTTTGGACCCAGGGGTAATAAGTGGTTTTTGTTTTCTTTCATGTGAAGCTTGATATAACTTCACATGAAAATTTATTTTTATTTTTACTTTCCATCATGTTCTTACTGTGTGATCATGATATAAGATCTATATTGAAATTTCTGTTCTGTTCCACTGCTGCAGATACTGGAATTTTCTGACCTGATATCTACCCTTACCTTTAGTTTTTATTATTGAAAGATGTGTTTTTCATATTTGTTTGTTGCTAGTGGATTATACATCTGTGATCCTCATAGAAGTTAGTAATTGGGCAACATCTTCTCTGACTATGTTCATAATTTGACCTCTGCTCAATGTCCTTGATTTTAGTTGAGAAATGGACATGATGCATTGAGTTTACAAAGAGAGACCTCATGGTATGACAAAGCTGGTGTTTAGATGGTTCCATGAATTGTGTTATCTGCATGGGTGAGGTGGGAAACTATATACCCCAGAGACCTTCTGGTTATCATTGTGAGTTAAAAGTCATGAGTAGAGGAAGATGCATGAGGTTTGGAAGGGAGAAGTGAAGATGCCGTGACAATCATATCTGTACTGACAGAAGACAGAGATGCATAGTAACACAGTGGGCCTGAGTTACAGCATATTCTTCTGACGCCTGGGTCTGTCTGTCTGGAATGACCCCAACAAAACACACATTTGATGTGAGTTCCCTCTTAGGCAGCAGATTCCACAGACTTTTCCAGGAGCTCCCCAGCATGGACCCTCTTTGGTTTTCAGGTTCAAAGAAATCCTCGTATTTGCCTGTAGCTCTTTGATATCCAACAGGCCACTTCTTCAGGCTATTGAACTTAGTGATTTTCTGTCATCCTGTCACCTCCATCTGCAATGCCGCCCCTAATTATGTGATTTTTGTAGGAGGCATCTTGTTCCACTATTGGTAGATCTGTTTCCAGCCTCTATCTGGACACATTTAATGCTGCAGCAAAATGCAGGAGGTCCTTCTCAGGTTGCACTGTTGAGAGGCTGGACTGACCCTACATTTTTTTTTTCTGGATACTTTCATGGTTGAAATAAGCATCAGTTAATACATTTGGCAGGTTGTGGAAATTTTCTCTTATACCTGAATGCTTTTTAATGATAAGCCAAGTATGTTTAATTATGTTCATTTTTTTTGAGGATTTTATTGGGGATTTGGGGGAGGGAATCGGGGAAGGGGAACAGACAAGTTGCTGTCCTTTTGTTCTTCAGTCTAGTTGTGGAGGATGCCACTTCACAGGCCCATGTTGGTATTGCATTGCACTTTTCCTGGCTGAGGCAGATTGGTTGCTGGCCACTGGACGGCTGCTCACGGCGGCTCTTGGCAGCTCACACTGGCTGCCAGCCACTCACGGTAGCTCATGGTAGTCCAATGCAGCCCTGCTGCAGCCTATGCCGTCGCTGGCGACTCACGGCAGCCCAGCTCCAGGTGGAGCTGTTGTTCACCATCTTAGATGTAGAGGGCACAGCGTCACTGGCCCATTTGTGATTCGAACCGGCGGCCTTGCTGCTCAGAGCTCACTCTCCCAAGCCAACTCTTAACCAATGAGCCACTCGGCCAGCCCAATTATGTTCATTTTTATATGTGATTACTAAGTATTCTTTTATTTTTTAGATGTGATTCAAACAATGTGCATTTTTTTCAAATGGGCTTTTCTACATTGTTTCTTAGAAAGTTATTATTCAGGTTTTCAATCTATTGTATACTGACACATGTCATTACATATTATATTTCTTTAACTGAAAGGATATGTTAACCCATTCTAAGGAATAACTCATTATTATGATTGTGACCATTTCTCCATATATATTCTGGGGTAATAGTATTAAATAAAAACTCCTTTTGAAATATTTTTCTGGTATGTTTTTCATTAATTTTTATGCAACTGACATATTTTTAAAATAAAAATTTAATTATTCATTCCTAATACTGAAATTCATTCCTAACTATTGCTTATATCAGTGGTCTCCAATCAGAGATCACCAGGAGTCATGCTTCTGCAGCTCATCAATGTGAGAGGGAAGGTGGATATATATGCTCCCAAGTTGCCTATGGACAACTGGGACAAACGGTGTTCTAGGTGAGGTGAGCACTTCAGTTGTGATGGGAATGAGGGTGAAGACAGAGCTTCCGTTTATAGATATAATTGCCTTGAGTAAACTCGCCCAATTTTTGGACATGCTGCTTGTAATATTTGTTTTCAAATAGTTCTTAGATGTTTAATTAAAATAAATACCAGGACAGAAACATCTACGTCTTCTCATTGCTAGTAATTTTGCTGAATGTCCACAGAATGTTTCTTCCCATGATGGATGGTAATTGATAGATAATGCTACTGCCCACTGATAGTCCCTTGTATTATTTTTGCTTGAGGAAAAAATGGATTGTCCATTTCTCTTTTCATCAGACTGCTTACGGTTCTGTTGATCTGTCCTCAAGTAACAAAGCTCAGTTTCTGTCTCTGTGTCAGGTGGCCTCCAGTGATGCTTCTCTGACCCTGTGCATGATGCATGTATTGTCGTATTTGATGTGGACTTGGATGGGACAGTAGGTCTCAGGTGTCGTTCAAGGTGACTAGTCCCTCAGGAATTTGAGAGAGGAAATGGTCAGTAAGATACCTGGACCACCTTTCTAGAGAGGACGCTTATACCTAAGCAATTCCAACCAGTGTCAGAATGGCCTTTGCTCTCCAGTATCATTGATTCTGGCACACCAATCAACATGTGCCTTGTTTTGGGGATACAGACACACTAAAGGCTCACCATAGCTGCACTGACCTGTCACAGCACAGAACGTATGGATCACCACCGCACAGTGGGATTCCAGCACCAGAAGAAAAGAGTCCATTCTTGATCTTTTTCATGGGAATCTTGCCTTTTCATATCACAACCATGAAATTCCTGATTTTAACCACTTTGTATACATGGTTAACCCTTCTGCATGCCCAGAGGATATTTTCCTTGTGAAGATATGGTCCATTTGCATCCAGTGCTCTTCAGAGTCTGACTCTAAAGTTGTGAAGAGATGCCCACCGAGTGCCTGTGGGAGAATATGTGTCCACACCTGTTCTGTGTGCCTTTAGGGGATGGCCAGACGTGCATTGGCATGAAGGGTCACAGGGAAGCTTAGGAGAACAGCTTATTATACTTAGGTCCTAGAGCAAATATCACTGCATGCTAAGGGATGGTGACACTGGGTGAATGACAAGGAGAGGATGAGGCTGCTTCCTGCACGTTGGTTTTGTCATGCCCAGAGTCAGTGGACTTGAATGTGATTTGTGGAACTGAGTAAGTCTGTGAAGGTCAGTCTTAGGGAAGGCTGCTTGGGTTCAAGTGCTGTTGACATGGTTTGTACATTTGAGGGTTTCTGTGGGTCTGTGCCAAGACCCGCTCAGCTTCCAGTGGCCACCTGGTGTGCACTAGCCAGGTACCTAGAGGGTTCCTAAGTGGACTGGGTGGAAGATTGAGAAATGGAAGAAATTAAATAAGAAAGACACAGAGACAAAAGCTGGGATCACGAGGGACACTCTGTTGCTGGTGGCGGAGAGAGTGCCACTGTTTATTGGATACACACTGGTTATATAGAAAGCAACTTCCTCTTTTGCAGGGAAATTCCCCTAGCTAAGCACAGGGGATTTTTGGTAGGGGGTTTTGGGGAACGGGGAACCAATGTCCCTGACATAAGGTTTTGGGGGTTTGGAGAAAAAATTTCTCCTAGCAACAGGTTACATGATTACACCAATGATATATTTTAAGCAAGGTTAAACTGAGGCAATTAGAAACTGTCAGCAAGTCCATGGTGGAAAGTCCCAAAGCATGTGAGTCCATATTTAAAAGAGTGCTTTTAGAAGGTCCAGTGATGTCAGCTCCAGGAGACTTCTGCTTTTCCATGGCAGAAGATGTCTCTCCAGCAGTCCCTCTTTTTGCTTTTCACCCAACATGAAGTTCTGCAGCTTTCTCTCAGCATACAGAACATGGAGGCCTGTAGCTTTCTCAGCTTGCCAGTCTTACTGAGCTCAAATGGCTCCCAACAGGTCTGAACTTAATTCTAAGTGAATGTCATGCACAATAATAGGGGGCGATACTGGAATAGCACAAGGGAGTGGGCGCAACTGAGCAGGTGGGGAGCAGAGAGCAGGAGGATCTGTGGCAAGTACCTGCAGTGCCTACATTCATGTGGGGTATAATCATTTGTGTGGTGCCTAAAACGTGACACATGAGCGATGGACAACATTTAGCACCTGACAATCAGTGTGAGCTCTGAGGAAGACAGGCTATGTCACGTCCAGCGTGGCAAGGGCATACAGGTTTCTCTTAAGGGGNCATACAAGAACACACAGTGGGGAGAGACCCTATGTATGTCAGCACTGTGGGAAAGCCTTTAGTCGTCATTCCTCCCTTCGAGGACACGTGAGGACACACAGTGGAGTGAAACCCTATGAATGTCGGCAGTGTGGGAAAGCCTTCAGGTATCCTGCAAACCTGCAAGTACATGCGAGAACACACACTGGAGAGAGGCCCTGCCAGTGTCAACACTGTGGGAAAGCATTTAAGTATGCTGCATCCCTGCGAGTACATGTGAGGACACACACTGGGGAGAGGCCCTATGAATGTCAGCAATGTGGCAAAGGCTTCAGTAGTCACTCTTACCTTCAGAAACATGTGAGTACACACAGTGGGGAGAAATCCTATGAATGTAAAGAGTGTGGGAAAGCTTTTAGGCAGCTTCAACATTTTCAAGGTCATATGAGAATACACAGTGGAGTCAAACCCTATGAATGTAAAGAGTGTGGGAAAGCCTACAGTTTTCTCTCATCCCTTCGAATACATGGGAGAACGCACAGTGGGGAGAGACCCTTTGAATGTCAGCACTGTGGGAAAGCCTTCAGTCGTCTCTGTTCTCTTCGAGGACATATGAGATCACACAGTGGTGTGAAACCCTATGAATGTAAGGAGTGTGGAAAAACCTTCAGGTATCCTGACAACCTGCGAGTACATGTGAGGACCCACACTGGGGAGAAACCTGACGAATGTCAGCACTGTGGGAAAGCCTTCAGGTATCCAACATCCCTGCGAAAACACATGAGAATGCACGGTGAAAGCAATACCTATGAATGTCAGCAGTGTGGGAAAGCCTTCA